TTTCTTTTCATTTGGTTTATTTGGTCATTGATTTGTCTTGGATATATTCTACTTGCGATTATTGTTTACCCCGTGGTATCGACTTACTTTCTTTATTATAACGCCAACATCAATTTGAAGGTCAGCTATAACTTCGAACTATTATGTATATACCTAAAAGAGAGGCAAAAGATACAAAAGGGACATTCAAACTCATAAGTTGAAAATAAACTGACAACACAATAGCTAAAAAAACCAACATACAAGCAACTGTACACAATTTGTTATTATAAAACACCCATGCAACCACGCATCCCATATTGCCTGATAGGATATGACACTACTTTAGTGTTTCGGCAGTTAAAGCTTGGGATGGTCATCTTAAGATGCATTATTTTAATATAATCAAATATGAAAATTATTCATGTATATATTTATATTTTTATATTTTAATTCTTCTTCGATAGATCTAGATATTATGACAGGTCTACCATCATCTGGGGTCCAACTGTCAATTTTATGTCAAAGTCTTTAACTTTGATCTGCAAAGCATATTTCCTACACTTTTATGTTTGCTATACGTAACTATTGGATATTTGTATACAATCTTCGTCAAACTGCAATAAATGCCAGTGTTTCATGATTCATAATATATGACGGAACATCAGATGAAATTACAGAATTTTTTCGTCTTGCTAATAATTATAACCCTTTATTAAAGTTCACCTATGAAATCTCAAACGATAAAATGTCCTTCTTAGATGTTGATGTACTTAAAGGTCAAAGATTTACAACACATGGAATTCTTGACCTTGAAATACATTTTAAAGAAATAAATTCTTATCTGTATCTGCATAGAAATAGCTGTCACTCACAGCAGGTATTCCGAGGATTTATTAAAGGTGAAGCAATACGGCAGATTAGAAACACAAGTGACCATAACAAATTAATAAACAATCTAATTAATTTCAAAGTGAAATCATTAAATAGGGGTTATGATAACGTCGAAATAGATGATAGTATTACTGATGCTTTATCAATTGACCGTACTGAATTATTACAACAAAATAAATCGAAAGAAACAGAAAATATTCCGTTCGTTTTAATAACTAAATATCACCCATATATACGTAGAATAAAAAAAACGTATCATGACACACTGGCATTTATTGCAGTTTGACGAAGATTGTGTACAAATATTCAAGGTTTTGCCAATAGTTGCGTATATCAAACATAAAAGTGTAGGAAATATGCTTTGTAGATTAAAGTTAAAGACTTTGACATAAAATTGACAGTTGGAACCCTGATGATTGCAGACCTGTCATACTATCTAGATCTATTGACGAAGATTTAAAATATGAATATATAAATATATACATGAATTATTTTCATATTTGATTATATTAAAATAATGCATCTTAAGATGACCATCCCAAGCTTTAACTGCCGAAATACTAAAGTAGTGTCGGGTCCTATCAGGCAATATGGGAGGCGTGGTTGCATGGGTGTTTTATAATAACAAAACACAACATAGAAAACTCAAGACTGAGTAATAACACGAACTCCAACCAAAAAACGGCGTGGGGGTGGGGGTTGATCTCAAGTCCTACGGAAGGGTAAGCAGATCATGCTCTACATGTGGTACCCGTCGTGTTGCTCATGTTGGTATAAACCCGGTGATAAGTCTAAATAAGCTTGTAATAGTGTTCTTAGATAAAAAAAAAATATGTAAATATGTAACATAGTTACTGCACCTCACAATAATGAGTTTGTTTTGTTTGTACTTTTTTTCCACGTCTAAGAGAATTGTTCAGGATTTGATCATGGATATTATTTTCCAAATGAAGATATTGTTGGCCCCGAAAATCTCGATGCGTATTAGTATGATAAGAACTATTTTTCGTCTAAGCACAACTTTGGTTCATTTGGACTCCTGGTGCGTGGAATTTGAAGATATCATAAACATCTCGTCACTTCGTTATAATGAAAATACATTTTAAAATACCACTTTAGATTAATATCCAATGAGATTCTTGATATTGATCATGATACACGTGATATTGTGTAATTTAGATAAATCAAGGTTACATTTATATGAAATAACCAGAAACGCTCAACTATAAAGCAGTATGTTTGTTTAGATTCCAATATGAACCCTATTTCTAGCTTCATATGCGCCGCTACACGACCTATACACTTGGAGATAGTCACAGATTTAACCGAGAAGTTTTTCATACTTCCTTTAAAAAGATGTGTTGCCAGAAGATGTATTTCAAGGATTATGTTGTCCGATAATGCAACAACCTTCAAGGCAGCCGCCAAAAAGATAACAAGATCGAACCGAGACGTTGGTGTGTACAATAAGAAGTTTGTTTTGTTTGTACTTTTTTTCCACGTCTAGGAGAATTGTTCAGGATTTCATCATGGATATTATTTTCCAAATGAAGAAATTGTTGGCCCGGAAAATCTCGATGCGTATTAGTATGATAAGAACTATTTTTCGTCTAAGCACAACTTTGGTTCATTTGGACTCCTGGTGCAGTGAATTTGAAGATATCATAAACATCTCGTCACTTCGTTATATTAAAAATACATTTTAAAATACCACTTTAGATTATTATCCAATGAGATTCTTGATATTGTTCATGATACACGTGATATTGTGTAATTTAGATAAATCAAGGTTACATTTATATGAAATAACCAGAAACGCTCAACTATAAAGCAGTATGTTTGTTTAGACTCCAATATGAACCCTATTTCTAGCTTTGTTTAATTTAAGAATTAAATGGTCTTTACCACGATATGTCAGAGCTTTACCAAAACTAAATAGGAAAATACAATTTTGTCTGAATATTTTTGTATCAGCGTTCATATAATGACGCCATAATAAGCATAAACATCTTAAAATTACCATCAAATTCAAAGAAAACATACAAATGTCAATATATATAATCTTGGGACCATACACACATATAGCACACGAGTCTACAAAAAAGACTATTTCATATTTGTATATTATAAGAAAAAGTAAAATAACAAAAATACCGAACTCCAAGAAAAATTAAAAACGGAAAGTCGTTTATCAAATGGCAAAATCAAAAGCTCAAATATACCAAACGAATGGAAAAGAACTGTCAGATTCCTGACTTGGTACAGGCATTTCCTTATGTAGAAAATTGTGGATTAGACCTGGTTTTATAGATTGCTAAACCTCTCACTTGTATGAAAATGCATAAACTATCTGACATGCGCATTTTGTTTGTAGAACCCTCCGCTCGATGATTCCTATAATAAAACAGTCAATCTGTGAAATAGAATCAGTACACACACAGCAAAACACACAAAAAGCAAATGAGCATTGGTTTTATTTCTTCTCTTCATCGCAAAGTCACTATGAGGCCTTCGACACAAGGCAAAACTCTCACATCACTGCAAGTTTAAGATGGCCCCTAGCACCTATTTTGGCATAGTTCTTGGCAAACTGACGATCACGCCACAACTGTGAATTTATGAAAAAAAAAACAATGGAGTTAGTTTATTTTTGTTTGAAATCCAGACAATGTTATTAACTTTCACCAAAATATCTATTTTTATACTAAATTGGATGTAAATCGCACCGTTTCATTTACTAACATATATATAAATGTTGTGAAATCGAACAGTTTTGACAAACCGGTTACTCGGATAATCTTTCGACTGATTAACCGGTTAAACGTTGGTTAAGTTGATGTTTAAAGACCTTATCTATAGTACCCTATAAATGTACGTTTTTATGATATGATTAATTGAAGTTTATCCTTGGGGTTTATTAGGATTGGCTGTGAGCATTCCTGATGTGAAGTTGTACTTTTGATAATCCAAATCTACCGTTTCTACTATTGACGTTTGTAATAACTTCAAATTGAGAAGTTCGACAAAGCCTTGGACGATGGAGGTGGCATATTAAGATGTAGGTATACACAATCTTGAATCAAAAATCAAAAATGAAATAATGAAGTAAATCGTAAAATTTAATTGGCTAACAACTGTTCAAAATCTTGCCCGAGCTGATAGACAAGTTGTCTTTGTGCTAATAAATTTCATGTTTTCAATTACCACGACGATCATTTTAAAATTGAACAAAATCTATCATTGATTTCAATACACATTTATAAAAAATCTATTAAATTTAAAAAAAGAAAAAAAAGATCTGGTTAACCGGTTAGCGTTTTTGGTATTCGATATTCGTTCCTTCCAACGGTTATATGCATCAACTTCAGATACATTTAATCTTGTAATAATGGATTTAAGATTTGGTACGGAAGATACCCTTACTGAACATACTGCTTGAAAGGAATGAAAATATACCCCAAAAGTTATATGACCAGAAGAGACCTAAAAAGGAAATCCAAACCCAAACAGTGCAAAATTCGCATTGCTATACAATTTCCATGCCTTACATCAAAATTTTTTGCGTAGCTTAGAGAGTTTGTTTGAATCTTTTAAAAAACATTGAACATCTTTACATGCCATAAAAATTGTAAAATACAAAAGGGATCGTAAACTTTGTTTTCGTTTCATTTAATTTTCGGTTTGTTCTTATAGCTCATGAAGTATTTATACATATATTTTGGTTCGGGCTTTCCTTTGTGAAGGAAAGGACTTTAGATACACCAAATTCATAAACTGCTCATCTGATTATACGACAACGCGTTTAGTTGTACGAAACCAAATCAATTCTAAAGCAACGGTTTTTACTCTGATAAAAAAAACCTCTGATTCTGATTAAGTCTTATTTGACCGCGAAACTGCTATTCCTAACCCGAACTAAATACACTATTGTAATCGTCAAATATGAAATCTGGAGACCTGCTTTTGAAGAAAAGCATAGTTAACGTTAGACTAATCATTAGAATACTTCTTTACAAAAAAGAATTCCATCAGACAAATAGACCCTGTATGTTTCTATCCAAGCACTGAATGTATGTATCATGATGCCTCCTTTTAATAAACGCCTATGTTCAATAACAACAACAAAGTAGTTATTAAAATTATGTTCATTTTAATCATTTCTTACAAATATAGCCACTATTCCATCCGGGATGGTCACAGTATACGTTATGAAATGCATATCTCTCTGCAGCGAAAAACATCATGCAGTCTTGTGGGCTAGAATTATTTCCGTCAGGTTCTCTTGCGCCAAAGGCTTTGTACGTCATCTTGATCATTTTGCCGTTTTTTATCCATCTCCAGTCTCCGCCAGATACGTATCTGTCGATGTTCCGCCCTCCGATATAGAAGTGTAAACTTTGACAAAATCAACATATTAATTTCATACTTTAATTTGTTTTTATTGTGCTAAGCAAAACATTGATGACGGTTTGGTGTATTATATTGTTTGGCTCTGCATTAAAGATCAATTTCAAGAGTCCCGTCCGTTCGAACAACAAAACATCTCTAGTAATATTGACTGTTTGATATATATTGCATATGTGTTTATTTGAGGAATGACTGTAATATTTTTTCTGTCTATTCGAAATAACATAGAAAATGTGGTGAACACTATAAAAGTGTGCACCACATTTTTTTTTAGGTTATTTCGAATAGACAGACAAAATATTATAGTCAGTCCTTATAGTTTAATTCTAAATTCCATTTTTAAGGAGTAAATCATGAAAAACGTTGATAACGTCACGGTCACATGACAAAATTATGTCTATGAGCTGAAGGACAAAAACTTTCAGCAAATCAGAAGACGAGTTAAATCCAAAAATTAAATTCTATTCCTGTCAACTTTTTTTTAATAACAGTCTATGTCATTACAGCTATAAGTAACACAGAATGAAAATCATTGTCTTTTTCGCTCATATTTTGATGGTTGACTGACATAATCTACGACTAAAAAATCTCTATGGACTTTCACGTTTATTTCTAGTTCATGTGTTTTTTACCCACCACTTTTTCTTAAAATGTCCTGTACCAGGTCAGGAATTTGGCAGTTGTTATCTACAGTCCGTTTCTATGTATGTTTGCGTTTGCTTTTGTTGTAGTTTAGTGTTTCTGTTGTTCCGTTCTTTTCCTCTTATAGTTGATGTGTTTCCCTCGGTTTTAGTTTTTTTACCCGGATTTGTTTTTGCTTAATCGAATTATGACTATTGAACATCGGGATACTGCTGTTGCCTTTATATAAGGCCAGTTTATTTCGATTGCTTGGCAAACATGTTTTGTAGAGGAGTGTTAATTTGAGAATATTACTTAAGGTCGGTCACGAGAAATCAAGTGGTCAGCCAGATATATGGTTGCTATAAGGAATTTACTTCCATTTACCCTCTTGAAGTGTTGTCGTTTTTATTTGATACAAGCATGATGGGGAAAGGTTGATTCTTTTAGCTGTATATAGATCTATGAATGTTTTGTTATTCTATATTAAAATATTTAAAACTTAAATAACGCATATATTACGTTAAAAAAACGCATGTCCTATCAAAAAACGCTAATGTTCTTATTTAAAGATAAAATGTCCATTAAAAAACCCGCAAATGTCCTATCAAAAAGCGAAAATGTCCTATCAAAAAGCGCAAACGTCCTGCGCAGACAATTTTATCGCGGGAAAGCCGATTATTCAACAATTTTTAAAACGAACTATTCAGAATAAATGTTTTCTCTCTTTTTTCTGGCAATACAATTTAAAACAAAAAATCAAAAAAAGTGAAAATTAGAATTAAATATTATAACCTCACCAGTCCATTATAAAGCACGTGGACGTTATTCTATAGAAAAAAAGAATATTTGGTCATTTGATCAATTAAGGTATATATAGACGTCAAAAGTTAATAACTGGCCAGAAGAGAGCACGGTATCGTGATACATGTACATGTAACACGAATAGCCATAGGTCATAGCATGATTTTCAATACAGTGTGAATCAATAACATTTCAAAACCCTACATTGTGTTAAATCTGGCTTGGTTCAAAAGTGTTATTAAAACTTTTGCATTATTGAAATCATCTCACATAATTATTGCAGCGATGAATTAACAAAATTTCACGTTATGTGTTTCGAAAGATAAAATGTGCGTCAACAACGATTTTTGGTATGTCAGTCTGATAAACGGACGAATGATTCTATCAACCATGGAACAATAAAAAGTAAAATTGGCAACAACACTCGACAATTATCAAACGAATTAAATGTTTAAGTAAATTATAGTTTGCATTTTAATAAGCGAAAATTCAAGACATTTTACATTTTATAAAGGTCATTATTTTCTGCTTTGAAGCAAATTTAATTGAAACTTGGTATTGTCCTTGATTCTTCAGAAGAAAGACCTATCGTTCTAAAAGGAGATAACTCCATATAGGTATACAAGTTAAGACGAAGAAAGGAAAAATAACCAATGCCCTTTTTTCAAATAACAGATCCTTTAGAGGTTTTACAATTTAAGGTAACACAGATAATGATTTATAGGGATGAATCTGTAAATCAATTTAGTGATTGTAACACACAATGTTGTCAATGCATGATAACAATTGATGTAGAACCTGACTTTTTGGAACATATTTTGTTTCGTTTGTGCTGAGAAGGAGATACATTCCTGAAACATTTAACAGTGGCAAATTAAAGGACACTAAATGAAAAGATTATTTTGTGCTTATTTAATTTCATAGTTGCAGATAATTTTGGTAGATTTACTGCAGTGATTGTATTGATTTGTTAATCGTTAAACGTCATCGGTCTCAAATTAGATCATGTGTTTTCATTCAAAGAAAGTATCTTATAAAACCTTCGATGTACTAATGTTCTTATCTATGCAGTAGATAGTTCCAATTCTATTTGAAATGTTAAATGTTTCATCCTCACATAAGTCTCTTCAGACTACTTTAAAATTTGTAAAACATTAACACATATCAAAAACCCTGAATGACCCCCCTGAATATTAAGGATTGTTCATAATGGTACCAGTGTCACGTGCCTTGTGAGTCTTGGTAATCGTAGCATCAGGTATTGCAAAAGTTTTTAAGGCCAAAATATATAATATAGTGAGAAAGGGGAAGCAAATTATATTGCAGTTCAATGAGCATTTGAAGTTCAATAGGGAGAAAAGGTAATAATTCGTTAATGCTCGGTATGGCAAAAATAATAAATGAGGTTTCAATGCAATGCAAATGCTAAAATGTAGATCGAGTAATAAAATATATAATTATTGCTGTTTATGATATTTGATTTTCTTTAATTCATATTCACTCTGTGCCTTAAACTACCATTCAAGTTTCTTATCTGATTAAGGATGATCAAGATTTTATTGCATTCTTGTCTTATAAATAAGAAGATGTGGTATGAATACGAATGAAACAACTCTCCATCTAAGTCACAATGCGTAAAAAGTAAACAATTATAGGTCAAAGTACGTCCGTCAACACGGAGCCTTGGCTCACACCGAACAGCAAGCTATAAAGGGCCCCAAAATGACTAGTGTAAAACAATTCAAACAAGAAAACCAACGGTCTAATCTATATAAAAAACGTCTTGTCGTTTTCAAATAATCCATGGACGAGCAGCCGGTTAAACATGTTAAAGAGGTAGTAGATGTCAAATTCATGTTCAGCGATTCGACTCAAAAACTCATGTGTTATTAATAACATACTAAAACATGAGTTAAGCCCATTTCCACAGTTAATGCTTTTTATAGTTTGTTCTTATGTTGTACTGTTAAACCACTATCCCAACTTAGGGGGCGGGTTGGCGCCTTCAAACTAGTTAAACCCCGCCAATTAATATCTGTGCCTGTCCAAAGTCAGGAGCCTGTAATTCAGTGGTTGTCGTTTGTTGCTGCATATCATATTTGTTTTTCATTCATTTTTTTGTACATAAATCAAGCCGTTAGTTTTCTGTTTTGAATGGTTTTACATAATATGTCATTTCGGGGCATTTCATAGCTGAATATGCGGTATGGGTTTTATTCATTGTTAAAGGCCGTACGGTGACCTATAGATTGGTAATTTCTATGTCTTTTGGTGTCTTGTGGAAAGTTATCTCATTGGCAATCATATCGCATCTTCTTATTTTTATAAAACGTCTATCCAACTTACAATAAGTCCTACAAGAGAGACGAAAGACCTAAAGGGATATTCAAACTCATAAGTTGAAAACAAACTGACAATGCCATGGCAAAACACAGAAATCGAAGAAAAGACAAATAACAGTATACAAAACATAACTAAAAAAATGCACGAACTCCACCAAAACTAGGGATGATCACCAGAAGGGTTATCACATGACGATGTTTCTGTTCGATTTTGTTGCTTCAATCAAGAAATGTAACAGGGCATAACCTTCAGTTATTTTCATACCCATTGTAAGTATCTTGGTGCTTTCTCCTAAAACCAAGATATGTTGATACATGTACACAATAAGGCAACCAATGAAAAAAACATTATAACTCTTTTTAGTTCAAATACCTGTATTCATTTGTTGAAGTTCATACTTCATCAACATGGTCTCTTCCAAAGTCTCAAAGGTGGCAAGGTATGCACCACGCCGTAAACACAAAGCCTTGTAAAAAGATTTTATTTTGTGATTTTAAAAATGTTTTTAAATTTCAAAATAAGAAGTGAAAATGGCAGAAATCTCTTAACTTGTAAAATGTTGCATTGAAGGATATATTTAACTACATGTAACACGGCAGTATATATACAATCCTTTAGAATCAGACATACAATGTATTGAGTTTGCTTACTCGTTTGTTATAAGTTAACAAATTCATAAGTGTTATTTTAGTTAGATTTTAAGACATAACAAAGTATTACTGCTAATTAAGAATTGGTTCATCAACGCAAAAGTCATTGTTCCGGTATTGGCTGATGTATTGGTACCCTCTTAAAATTGCCATTGACAAATTTATGAAGAGATATTCCAAAACAAAAAAGGTTCCAACTCCTTCTATTAAACTTGTCCTTACATGGATTTATCTTTTCTTTCCTGTAAGTTTAAGTAAATGTTTAATTACCTTTTTTTAAAAAGATACTGATGCTTAGTTAAAAGAAAGGGAAGTTGTGTTACTTTTTTCAGCTGCATTTATAACGTAAAGGATCCGTTTAAATCATGCTTTTTTACATGTTTAATTAATTAGATACATAAGAGAAACTTTCTGTCGCCAATTAGAAATAAGCCTATTTATCAGATACGTATTTCAATGTGGTTGGAGTTTCATGCATTTGTTATGATTAAAATTTACGTGATGCCACAAAGAAGAACTACATTGACCTTCGACATGTGTATTTTATACAAATATCATTATGTATACAGCTTTCAATTAGATTGCGTTAAAAAAAAAAACGTTGCCGTAAATATTGTACAATTCTAAATCTGTAGTAAAATCTGTTAACAAATTCTTTGCATTTTTAAAATATCGTTTCAATAGACCAAAACAAAAGGAATTTTCATTTTGCCATAACGATATCGCTCATTAGCCAGATTAACTTGTTTAACCTTTCACTTGAAACGAAGTATTGAATATTTCAAAAAAATAAATAAATTATACACTTACAGATGCTCTATCTGGAGTAGTTTTATTTCTACTTATGAAGTAGCAGCCATCTCCTATTCTCCGAAATGGGTACTTGCATTTTTCTAAAAGAAGAAAAACTAAAATCAATTTCAGTTTTAAAAGTGGCATCTTTATAAAGTAGTCATACAATTCACACATTATCCATGGTTGATTAAATCCGAAGTGTGTAGGCATTTTAGTCGCCCTTAAAACAATATTTGATCTAACTTTAAATCTCCATAATTAATTGATAGCGACGATGGTCAATGTTTTTTTATTGTGTTAATTTTTTCTGCCTTTTTTATTTAGTTAACTAGTAGCTGCTACGCATAACTAATCATTTTCTAATTCCATATACAATGTAGTCATAATTAGACAAGAAGAGATTCATCTTTCACAATTGACCACATATAAGTTCTAATGGTCGCAGCAATACGATTTCGTTTTTTGATCCTCAATTTAGTCACCACCGAATGCGAACTATTAACGAATGCACGATTAACTTTGAGTAAATTGAACCTCAACTTAAAGACCTGCACCGAGTTAATAAGTTTGAGGTACAATAAGTAAACAAAAGAGATTCTTTATGAAATGAGATCGTCCCAGGTATCTTAAATAACTATTTTGCATTGAATAACGATGAAAAATGCACGAACAGGTGTTTACTTGCAATGAGTTCCCCGACGGATGTCAACAGTGGAGTAGAAATTGCTTATCCCACCGAAGCAAATGAGTTTACTGTCGGTTTAGATTTGGGTTCTTGTTGTTTAGTATTCAGTGTTTCGTGTAATGTTGTAGAACTGTCGTTTTAATTTTTTGCCAGGTTTTGTGTATCTTTGTTTGTTTGTTTGTTTGTTTTTTTGTTTTGTTTTGGTTATTTTTTTATTATTCATCCAATAAGCTACAAATTGAAATACCGTCCGAAAAAATGTTTTGTAATTATCTTATCTTCCTCTTCTTATTTTCACATTAAATGTCTTTTCTTTTCATTATAATATTCAAATAATAAGGAGCGCAAGTAATATTATTATCTGAAGCGAAGAAGGAATTATTGAGTGATATTCCGTTTTCACCTAAGCAAGTCTTTTCATCAGCAAGGCGATTTGAATGGTTTCTGTGCGCATCATATCAAAATCAACATAATGATATAATGTATTCACAATTGTTTGGTTTTAGCATCGTTTATTTTCTTCAAAAACCAAAGCAAATCGTTAAAATTTGAATCCATCAGTATTAAAAAAAATGACATTCTAAATATTCTAACATACCAGCATGGCTCTCCGCAATCATAGCACCACCATAAAGTACACATAAGCTAAACACAACTGAACTATGCATATTCAGCAATGGGATGAAGAAAAAAGAATCGCGACATGAACTGATATAGTTTAACTTAAATTACATTTGATAATAACAACATATGTTCTTAATTTGTTGTTTTCAAAGTATCAATTTACACAGCAAATACATTTGATACTTGTTGATTACTTATTTAAAATTGCCACTGGAAGAAAAATAATGTATCGGATACAAATCGGAACGTGCAGTCGTACATGCGCTTTTCTCACCACGTGTTTTCAAATAAGTTTGATCGATTTTCTATTGTTCATAAATGTATGATATATATTTCTATAGCGTTCTTTGTTGATTTAAATGTTTTTAAACCGCTTTTGCGTATCAAACACAATAGTATCAATATTTAAAATGTTTAAGTATAAAAATAAGCATTTGCATAACAGTTATTCCGTGGAATAATACTCATAAAGGAAGGCGAAAGTTATTCACAAAACTGTTACTTGACTCTTCAACCAGAAAGAAACATACTTCCGGAGCATCTGAGACCATTCCAAGTTTCAAGTGGGGATCGTTTTGCTCGTATTACTGATAATGTATTCCATGTATCTTAGAAATACACAAATGAATCAAAACTCACGTTTACTTTATATGGATCTTTCGTCAATAATAGCATCTTCCTTAAAATATTGAATCGTCTCATTTTAGTTTTTCTAAGATATACATGAGCTATTTTACCATTTACAAAACAACAGCTACATATTTGAACGTAAGTTTGTAGAAATTGCAAAAAAGCTGATCGACGTCAGTTATGAAGTACTTGTTTGGTGTCTATATATAAGTGTAAAAATTATATTAATCGTAGTATATACATGTAGAGCAGGATATGCTTACCCTACAGGAGCACATGAAATCACTCTCATTTTTTGTTGGGGTTTGTGTTTTTACTCAGTCTTTAGTTTTCTATGTTGTGTTTAGTATAATGTTGTTTGTATGTTGGTCTTTTTCTTTTTTAGTCATGGCGTTGTCAGTTTATTTTCGACTTATGAGTTTGAATGTCCCTTTAGTATCTTTTGCCTCTCTTATATAACACTGAAAGCACACCCTATATTGTTTTTTAATCTATTTGTTGGTATGTCGCTTTTGTATGAAATTTTGCTAATAGAAAAACATTGAACAATTATATATTGAAATTCGGGAAATATCTTACATCATTCAAAAGCAAGGACAACAGACGTGATATACTCACTTTGTCACGCTTAAATGTTTTTCCTCCTGATGATCAGATAGTACAGCCTAAAATGATTTTAAATTCGAACTTGCCCCTTACAAAACTTTTCTATTTTAATTGATTATGATAAGATCTCATGAAACATGTTTAAAGTGCTGATTTTGATATTTGTTGACTTCTCAAGCAGTAGCTACCTCAACTATCATGCTTTAGAAACGAGCACATTTGACACTGCGCTTTCGAAATTAAATGCTGCATTTTTACTTACTTGTTCCAAATAGAGGTCATTCTGCAGGAAGCTCTTCCGTGCAGGTTTTAGACGCGTGTTTTAGTTTGACGACATACAAGCTAGATAGATAGAGGTATGTGAGCATGCTAAACTGATTAAACCCAACCACATTGTGTGCTAGTGCCAAATAACTTTAGGCTATACGGACTGTGAGTTGTACGTTGGTGTTTGTCTTTTTTTTTTTTCATTATGTTTGTTATTTTTTGGAAATGTCGGTGTTGGTGGCGCGTTGGTGACCAGTTTTTTGTTTCAATATATTTGGTGCTTCCTGTTAATCTTTTGGTATTATTTCGATAACGGGCATCCCTATACTTTATTTGTAGGTACTGCAAAATCTTCTGAAGGTAAAGAAACATGTTTTAGCGTCACGTCCACGGCGTTCACAGATGAAGAAGATAACACCACTGAACATTTTGACAGTACTATAAATTAGCGAAAATATGGTTTATAATACAGTTTCACCTTTTTCTGACACTTTAAAAGTAGCTCTTGAAGAATCATTTGGCAAATGGCACTTCATGTTTTATTTTTTCTCTTCTCAATATCTAGTACTCTGATTTTCTAAAGGGGAAAGGATCAACGAAGCAATCAGGAATTGCTTGTGAGTGCCTTTAACAGAAGATGGAAGAATTACGATTCATGGAGTACTCGCTTCATGATATGCAAACATTCGTATTATAAACATGGTGTATGCTGCGTCTATAACAGCAAAATAATTTATTTGACACACAAACATCTTATATGTTCGATGGTTGGTCAAAATTCAATAGATATTGGAACCATATCGGAAGGTATTCATTGGTATGTTGATATGCTTTTACATTTTGGAAAACTGATTTTCAGCCCTCAAATTTTGTATGACCAATTTGGCAATGCACTTCCCAAGAATTTTTAAAAAAAATGCTGAAACATTAAAATGATGTTAACAATTTCTATATATAATGAAAAATTAATGGTTATTTTTTAATAACAATATACTGTGAACCTGGTGCAAAAAAAAGTTACTTATCTGACCTTATCTAGACCTGTGTAGCATGTTTAACGTTTTTGGTCACTAGTAACAAAATATGCGGAATGCTATCCCAAAGCAATAAATGTATAGCGCATGCTACCATTTTATATTGAAAAGCATTGTCGATTATATTATTTTAACGATTTCTCAGTTTCAAATGGAGAATGGTGGTATGCAGGTTAATGAAATACATATTAATGATCTTTATTGTTTGTATGCATACCTTTTTTTGTTATTCTAATATAACTGATATTTCATTAAAATGATACAAAAATATATTTTAATTCACATTGCGGCCATCTGCTTACTAGCAATAGAGGACATTAACACAAAGTTACCAGCAATAATTATATATGCAAAAAAGAATGTTATTTTATGAAATATATCTCAAATATAATAGATATGTAATGTCGGGAATATGCATGGCATATTTGCACTTGAGCTAGTTTCGGTTTTGGTCTTGGTTTTGGTTCCGATTTCGGTTTCGGATATGGTGAAGAATGTAAGAAAATATTATAAAACTAATAGGCAGAATTTTAGACATTATTCTTAAATTGATAAAACGAAATCTCTCGAAATACGATGGTAAGGAACACGGTAGATTTTGGAATTCAGCGATTTGTTTTATTTGGCCTCAAGCAGAATGATATTATGCAATATGGGTCCATTCTCCAACACTCAAGTTCACCCACATACCTATTTTCTCCAGATCTGTTTGCTCATATTCATATTCACTGTACAATTTGTATGTACGTTGATATTCGCTGTATATCTGTCCCACCACCTTATTATTTTGTTTTTGTATGTTATGTTTAAACGAATCATGATAAACAGGATATATGTAATTGAATAATAGGTGTTAAAATTCAGTTTAAAAAAGGTCATACTCAAAACGGAAACAAGTCCTAGTTGTCCATGGTGTTATACTTTGTTTGTCACTCAAATCACAAGATGTTTGCAATCGAGGTTTGATTCTGTAATCGACCCCTATATAAAATATATGAAAGCGAGCAAACAAACCTTTAACCACAATAACCACAGGACAAAAGTCAACCGATAAAAACATGACATGATTAAGTCTTATATACTAAAATATATGTAGGTCATTGAATAGCCTATAATCAGATAATGATAAGTATTGTATGTGATGCCATTAAGTAAGATCTAAATGGCCCAAGAAAAGGGAGGCACAACTACAATTGTAAACAATAAACTAGTTTTGTGAGATTTTGGCACTGTTCGTATGATGTTTTTTTACTGGTTAAATAAGTACATTTTTTAACGAAGCATTGATGGCTAAATCTTCAAACAGAGTTGAGGTGATTTTAACCAAAGGTGACATATGTGAATGCCATGGTATCACATTGAAAGTCTCTCCTATTAAAAGAAGGATACGGATTTGAACAAACAATTTGGAGTCAATGGAAACAGAATCAAGGAAATGTCACTGATATAGTCAGATTTGTGACTGGACATATCGTTGAGTCTTAGGCAAATACCAGTAAACATTTTTTTTCTGTAAAGTTCTCTGCATTTGGATGTTTTCAATACTATGAACACATGATATTTGACCTGCATAACTTAAGTAATATCATAAGGAAAAGTATTGAATGGCTTCAGCAACCACTAAAGAAGGTGATCTTAACGTCAAAACAATTTCAGACTATCTTTCTGTTCATATTAATTGATTACAAACAATAACAGGTTTTCCTTCAGTGATTACCCTTGGAGATAGTTGTAAGTACAATTACTTATGGTGATCTACATTATACATGAATATCTAGTTTAATGAATTTTCATTAGCATTTTTAAATGAGGTGTAAAAGTGTGACAATTATTGTAGGGTATTGTGCGCATGTGCGTGTGAATGGAAGTCGAAAATTTGCAGCTCCTAGAAAATCTTTGGAAACTCAACTACAGATGCTGAGACAGATCCCGGAACTTGCTATTGCATGTTTAGTGGTTTAAATTCACCATATTCAAATAATTCAAAAAAAATTGTGAAATTTTGAGTTAGATATTTACACTTTTCCTTTATGTACAGTGGCGGGAAATCGTACTTCCGGTTGAATTTTTTTTTATAAAAATATTTTAAAATCAATATAGTTTTATACAGAGTCTCTTAATTAAATAGGTTATTAATTCCTAATTTTATCCTCCCTTATAACATTCCAAATTAACATGGCTACCTAGTGAGAATAACCTGTGTCCTTGAGTCGCCCAAGGAACGAAGACTTAACATGTTGGAGATACTAACCACCCTCTTATAAATTGTTGAAGAAGTATATGAGTGTCACTTACCAACTCTTCACATAAAATAAAATCCATGTTGAAAGAGAGACTTTGTCAAAATGTTACATAATGTCTTGTTACCAATTTTTTCAGTATTTACCATATTGCTGAACTGTGGAAATTTTTCAAAACCACATGTGTATGAAAATGTTGGCAATGATTTCTGTTTACAGAATGAATTGTCTATAAGTGTGTCATCTCAATTATACTACTGGCAGTTACATGTG